TACTATATATATATATATATATATATATATATGTATATATATATAGATAAATGGTAGAATAAATGATTTAGTCTGAAAATTAATTTTCCTACTATGATTGCTGTTTCTATTGCTGCCCCCTCTTCATAAAAAAATTTCTACTTGTATATATTAGTGCAAAAATGCAAAACTCCTTATCTACGTATTTTTTCTCCACTGGTTTTTTTCGTGTGTGAGATGTAACACGAGAAGCGAAGAGTAAAAAGGAAAGCGTGTTGTTTCCTTAATGAGAAGGAAAAACGTCAGAAACACCAACCTAAGGTGACTCTACTTCCAAGAGGATAAATAAAAAAATAGTTAGACAACAATAGTGTTCGGTGATATTTTATTCACTTGTCTCAGTATAAAAATTGAGAAACGAGTAAAAAAGAGGGAAAATTAAAAAGCTAAAGAATAGGAAATTTTTAAAAAGGAAAACTATACGATACCTATACTTACGCTGAAGTAAGAGGAAAGGCAATAAGAAGCAAAAATCCTTTCAAATGTGTATAATAAATTTCGAATTTCAATATACTTGACTAGAAGATTATCTGAAAGCAAGCAATATGAAAAATAGTGCGTGCTCTATGTGATATAATGAAGTATATATATTTATTTATCTATTTATTTATACAACGTTTTTCGTTATAGAAATGTTTGTATATATCCGCCGCCGCCGTTGACGCCAAAGAAATGAGCACCTTATTGTTATTTTTTAAATTATAAACACAAACGAAACTAAGAATAGAGAATTTTGATCCGATTTATTGAATAATTCCGCAGTGTTAAAGACTGATAAATCAGTACCTAACACGTTGAACTGAAAAAAACGAATAACTTCAAAATTTTTCTCAAAAAAAATTAATTGTACTTTTAAAAAAATACTATTATCGGTGTAGTCACTGCGAGGGAGGGAATAGGATGCTTGGGAAATGGTATTACCGCAGTTTCTTTCTAGTACAGGGGATAAAATAATGCACCAAACTCAGTTATTTTTTTTTAAACAAAATAGGTGTGTTAAGAGATTATCTGAAGACGAAATTAACAGGCAAAAAGCACACAATAGCGTACCCACCAGGAAGTATCCTCAAGCCAAAAGAACCAGAGGATGAGAAAAACGAAAAGAAAGAAACCTAAAAGGGATGTAAACACGTATATTAGAAAGAGTAAGAGAGCACGAAGGGAGCAAGATGTTAGATTAAGAGAAAAACATCCCATTGGGCATTCTGCACGCGAAAAAAGGCACAACAGCAACGCCCCTATGGGGTGACATTGATGGAAACAGTAGATACTTGTTTTAAGGCTATATTTGTTTTCTTCCAATTTCTTTCATTTTTTGCCGCATTACCACTGGGCGTGTGCAAAAGAGATCAAAGCTATAATGTGGTAATACGCAATTTGAAATTCATTTCGATACTGCAATATATATATATATATATATGTCTACTATTGAGAAACAAATCATAGCGTTAAAGAAATCATGTGAATCACGAAACAAGTGTCTATCCCACCTACACCACCACCACCTTTTTATCATTTCGACATTTCCGGCGGTGGTGGTGGACGCAGCGTTTTATCCTCCTCGCGTATTTCTACATTATACTGACCGAGAGATCGCTGTTTTTTCCAATGGTTTGCCCCGCTAGCTGGGCCGAGGCCTTGTTTGTGCAGGTGCTCCTTTCCCGGCTGCACATCCGTGAAGTTCTGGAATTGCATCCGCGAGATCTCGGGGTCGTAGACCTCCTCCATGTACGTTTTCACATCTTGCCCGGTATCCTTGGGCATCGTCATGGTATCGAACTCATAAGTGCGCGTACGGGTGAAGTTGCGGTGCTTTTCGAGCACATAAATCGCCCGCCGACACTCCTCCACACACTCGTCAATCAGGTACTTCTCCGTCGCGTTCGCGCGGCGACGAAACGCAAAGCGGGCGTACGCGATCATACTCCGCTTGCGCACACTCTTAAAATCCATCAAACCCTTCAAAATATTGCGATAAAGCAGTAAAATGAGGGATTTGTGCTCGGGTGTTGGGGTGAACTCCCAATCGGCGCGCGGGCGCTGAGGGTTGTCCGCCTCACGCGGCATATTCCACTCGTCGAAGTGCTCGCTATGTTGCTCTTCTTTTTGCCGTTCGAGATCGGCCTGGCGCTGGGCTCGTTGCCGAGCTTCAATTTCATAAATGAGGGGAAGTCGTTTCCCTCCGGTGAAATGCGCGGAATGATCGCGAAAGAGATCATCGATGGTGTTCTCCTTCGACGCGCTCTGCAGGTGGGCCTCGAAACCACCCCCTCGTTGGATTTTTCCGTCTTGATCCACCCGATGGGGGTTGTTGGGTGAGCCCCTGGAAGAAGGATTTCCTCCATAGGACTGCCCATCGTTGTGGGAATCGCCATTCAAACTTCCTTGAGAGGGGAAATCGCCGAGGGCGGTGTTTCCTCCCAACCCGGCGGCGGCGTTTTGAATAAAATGCTGCGTCGCGGCGTAGTGTTGTTGGGCGGCGGCGAGATCCTTCCCACGCCGCCGCCCTCCCCCCTTCCACCACCCACCAAACCACAACAGCGGATCGGTTGCGCGAAGCGCCGAAGCTCGCGAGAGACCACCGCACCGCATGCTCCTTCTGAAACGCGCAAAGCCGTGGAGCTAATAAATGCACTTCTCGTTATATCGATATCTATCTATTTTTATATCTATATGAATATATAGATAGATAGATAGATAGATAGATAGATAGATCTTCTTTAAGTAGATAAGGAGGAACAAACTTTGGACCTTTCACAAATATGGCCGGTGGTGAGGAACACACATGATCTATTCAAGCGCTTCTAGGTGAAGCAAACCCATCCATGATGTATCTTACAAGCAGCTATCCTGGCAGGGAAAAGAAGACGCCATGGAGGACGTCGCAAGCTTCCCTCAATATAGGATTACGATTATAGTCAACAAAATGTGTAATATGCACCCTAATGCACTTTTTATCATGAGCAAAACAGAATAGCAGCATAAAAGATTTAAACATTGAACATACACGAGAGGAAAGTATGAACATAGATCGGTATCCTTTTTGAAATATCATTTCCGTAAACAAACGCGTTGGACGTCTTCATACCTTTTCACAGAACGATATCTATCGATATTCTATGAACATTTCTGTGTTCTGATTTCCTTAATGAAGGCTTTCTGTTTATTGTTCAATTAAACCCTTCTTTTCTTCACCATTCTCCCCCCCTCCCCCCTATTCCGATGGGTTTCGTTTTACAAATCCAAAACATTGCTGAAGAAGGAACTCATCATATCAAAGACAATTTCGTTTTCTTGCACTCGAAAACACTGCATCGCCGTCGCCGCGGTCGGCCGCTTCAACGGATTCACCGTCAGCAGCGACAGCACGAAGCTCGCAAAGGCCAGCGAATATTTATGCTCAATCAGATCATTCATGATCATCGAGGCGAAGCCGTCATGGCTAGAATCCCGATACATAATCCGCGCCGTTCGCGCGGTCAAACACCCCGTTGCGAGCGCGTACAAAAGGCAGCCGAAGCTCCAAATATCATTCGTCGTGCTCGTCTCCCCACACCACGCCTCCGGGGAGATGTACGGCCGGGTGCCGACGCCACACCCACTCGAGAAGCCGCTCAACTCCTGCGTGGTCAACCCAAAATCGGTCAACGCGATGGGGATGATGCGATTGAGAATGCGAACGTTTCCCCGCACGTCGGCCTCCCCATCGAGAGTGTCTCGCGAGTTCCGACACGCCGAGGTTTCCTTCCGTTCTTTCGCTATAAGGTTTTCTTTTTCTTTTTCTATTTTTTTTTCGTCGTCGTCTCGCCCGGCGGGCCCCATCACGAGCCCTTTCCCATCCGAAACGATCAGGACGTTCTCGGGCTTCAAATCGCGATGCACCACCGGTGGGCTTCGCGTGTGGAGATCGCGAAGCGCTGACGCGATTTGATAGGCGATCGAAACGAGTTGACATTCCACCAGAGGGTTGCGAAAAGTCGGATCCCGCGGATCAATCAGCCGTGGCGAGGAAGGCGCGGACGGGGAACAAAGAGGCGAGGCAGAACGAGCGGCTCCTTGCCTTCCTAACCCGCGTCCGACGCGCAGGGTATACCGGCAGAGATCCCCTAAGGGGTGGTAATCTAAAATCAAGCAAAGGTACCCCGGGGAGGGGGTGCGAGGGAGGGAAGACAGGGGAGGGAAGGTGCGAGAGACCCCCTCCGACGCGTTCGGGGCCGGCGAAGACGCCACGACGCCGTTTCGAGGGGATTCCAGGGGACGCCGCGTTGCCTCCGGGTGGCTTTCCTCCTTTTCCGATGGAACCGCGGGCTTCGGGATCGTGAAAGGGCCCTCGCTCGGGTCCGAGGGGAAATCGACGGGAAACGCCGAGGCCGGGCGAACGGGATCCGCCCTCGCGGAGGGTTTCCCCTCGGGGGGGGTTGGGTGAAACTTCCCGGGCTCCTCCACGGGCGAGGTAGAGGTAGTTTTGGAGAAGGCATGGACAGCCTCACCCTGCGATCGCGCCACCTCCGCGTTGCCGTTGGGTTTAATCGAGGATGGGGAAGAGACGAAGAAAGGGCGGTGGGGATCCCCCCCGTTGGAAGCCTCTGGGAGATTCCGCAGGTACGGATTCACCAGCGTATTCGTCCGAGCGTCGCGTTTGAGCCGAATCGGGGATGACGGACGTTGGGGCTCACCCAGTAACCCCATCGGATTCATCTTCCCCAAAAGCGTGGCGGAGAGGGCGAAGTTGGTGTAATGAACCCCCCCTACCCAGGCCGCGGAGGTCGTCCGGAGGGCCGACGCGAGGGGATCGCGCGGATCCGTCGAGCAACCCCCCCCTTCCCCTTCTCTTTCTCCGTTTCTTTCTCCTTCTCCTTCTCCTTCTCCTTCTCCTTCCCTGACGCGCCTTGCCACCTCAAACGGGGCGAGGGCGGCGCTCAGGGCGGCGACGGAATCCGCGCCGCGAGGGGGGCCGCGCCGCTCCAGGGGAGCCCACTGCGAGGGCGAAAAGGGGCTCCCCTGCGGGAGGCCGCCGCGCGAAAACGAATCCCCTCCTCCTCCTCTTCCGTCGTTTTCACCTGTTGGGAGCCTCAACCAGTACGGCCGCTCCGGGCGGGCGGGTTCGGCCTTCGCGGCGTAATTCGGCGCCCACAGGGGTTTGAGGGGGATCCCCCCGGGTGAAAGGCCCTCCCTGGTTGAATTTCCGACCCCCCCAGTTGCATTTCCGATGCCGCCTTCGGTCGCGTTTGTAGGGATCCTCGTCAGGGGATCTCGCGCGACGGGGCGGGCTGTGAACGGCTCCCCTGTCGGCAACCCCGAGGGCAATCCTTTCCACGAGCTCACAAGCCGCTCGTGGGAGCTCGGCGCGGATTCCCCCGACGTCGAGGAGGAGAGTTTCAACGAGGTGGCAGGTCGTGGGGTGGACCACGAGGACGCGACCGCCGCGTTGGATCGCGCGTCGTAGCTCATGAACATCCCGACGATCCCGACGACGTTCGGATGCCGCTGAACGGAGTTGTGCAGCTCAAACTCGTTCATCGCCCGTCGGAGGGCGCGATTGCCCCCACACGGGATGTATTTCATCGCGAACGGCAGCCCATCCGACTTTCGTCGGACGAAATACACGGCGGAGAAGGAGCCCCGGCCGATGCAGCGGATCAGACGATACCCAGACGTTTCCGTGATTTGCAGAATCACCTGATCGTTTAGATCGGTTGGCTGAAGTGGATTGAATTCGTCCATCTTCGTGGCGGGATTCTCGCCCCAAGGGCTCCTATCCACCGGGCGGGCGATATTTTCGATCCCACGCGGGGAAACGAACGTGGGCGTCGACGAGGGTTCGTCTACACCCTTCCCAGCGTCGTTTCCCGCCTTCTCTCCTTTATGTTCGGGAGGAGAAGGATCGTCCAACCGATGCGGACGTGTCGCCTGGGGTTTCCGATTGTCGTCTGCTTCGCTTCCTTCCTGATCAGGGGAAATCCTCTCCAGCAGATAATCCCCTTCCATAAGGGCAGCGGGCGGGTAGGAAGGAGAATCCGCTGGCAACGTAGTCAATCTCCCCGCCGCAGGCAGCTCCTCCTCCTTTTCCGTTTGAGGATTTCCCCAAACGAAGTGAAACCAAAGGAAATCAAAACGGGAGGGCATCTTTTTATCCGCGACCCTTTTCCTAGAATCCCGCCACCATCGCCAGGTCCGCTCGGTGAGGTGAATTAAAAACAAAACGCCAAGAGATGAAAGCGACGTCAACATCACGAAGAGGGTTTTGGAAATCTGAAAGAGCTCAGCCTGATCAGGAGTGGTAGTTGTGGGCGTATGAAAGGCGCCTGAGAGCGTATTGGAAATCCACCCAGAGGGGGAAACCGCGCTTGCGTTGGTTGTTTCACAATGTATTCTCGAATGCGTTTCAGCATATTCTTGCATTGTGTAACCTTTGCGTCTGGCATTTAAGGTTGAGAATGATAATAACACCCAGACAGAAAAAAAACACAATAGCAAGCCTTAATGAAGGAAGAGGAAAAAGCGTTAATGGGATAGATGTAAATTAACACCATATAGTGAGATGTAATCGCCGTCTATACATTTAATTACCAAATTTATTTATTTTGGTGTCTTTTTGATTCTCTTTCGGTCATTAGTTAACTCGTTAAGATCAACAGCACTAAGCGAAGTATCGAAAAGTGTTTTAGGAGGGAAAGAGGGGTGCTTCGCATTGTCTGATTACCCTTCATCCATTCATAACTTCACCAAGTATAACGCACATTGTTTTCCGTTTATTATTGTTAAGGATTTAAGTCTTCCCTACTATTTATTTAATTGCCTCTGAACAGTTCTACGTGGTCGAGTCCTTTATTATAGCGTGAAAATTAGTCCTGCCTCCTGTCCGATAGCTACCGTCAAAATTATGTGTATAAACGTTTTCTCATCTGCACACCTCGAGTGGCTATAAATGCTTTTTCTTTTGGAGCAGGTCAAGGTCCTCCCTACCCACCCCCTACAAAAAAAAAAAAAGATGCATTAAAAGGTAGATTTACTATAATTCTGTTAGAAAATAAAAGAAACTAGAGGGCTCCAACGAAGGAGATGTCTAGCTAACGACGATAATGAGAATGCTATTCTTGCTTCACACACATCGTTCCGTCTTCGTGCCCCCCTCCCTTCCCCCTCTCCCCTCCTCCCTCCCTCCCTTTTCCTTTGATTCTGATGGATAGTTTCAAATGGTTATTTCTCAAACAGTGTGGCGAGGTTGTTCTCGCTGTGGATCTTCTCAATCGCGCGGGCGAGGAGTGGGGCGATCGGGAGCACGCGAAACTTCTCCGCGAGTTGCGGATCCCGCAGGATGTCATCCTGGATGATCGTATCCGTCACGATAATCCGCTCAATCGGCGCGCTCAGCAGGCGGGCGCGGTAATCCCCGGCGAGGACCGCGTGGGTGGCGACGATCAGGATGCGTTCGGCGCCGTGCTCGTGGAGGCACCGCGCGAGGTTCGCCGTCTCCACCCCTTCGTTGATCTCCGTCTCGAGGACGATGCAAAGCCGGCCGCGGACCTCGCCGACGAGGTGCAGGCCATCCGTGGGGTTCCCCATCTCCCGCCGCACGATCGCCGGGCGGCCGCGGGCTTGCCGGCGAA